GCATGACCTTGATCTTTTGAAAATTGATGGTGAATCCAAAGTTGTGACAAGCCATAGAGAATATATCTATGCTGGCTGGTATTTCTGACTCTGAACCAGCATTCTGGGCAGAGTCATCAATAAAGAGGAAGTCTCCTTCACTTTAGTAATAGCCTGAAGTCATCTCAGATTTAATAGCTTCTATTGCAGTCCTGAAAGGCATCATTCAGCATGGCAATAAACATCATGCTGAACAGTGTGGGTGCAAGCACAGACCCCTGTTTAACACTGTTTGTGATTGGGAATGCCTTAGAGAAATATCTGCGATCCAGCACTATGATTATTATGCCATTATGGAACTGGCATATCATCTGAATGATTTTGGCAGAACAGCTAAACTTTGAGATGATCCTCCTCCAGGTCTTGTTGGCTGACAGTACTAAAAACATTGGTAAAGTCAACAAAGACTATATAGAATTTACAATTAAAAATCTGCTCCTGAAAATTCTTCTGAAGCACATGAAAAAAATCATGTCAATAGTCCCACAACCTTTGGGGAAGTCATACTATGACTCTAGCAACAAGCCAAGCTCCCAATGAGTGACCAGATGATTTAGCAGATTTAAGTCCAATGTCAAACAGAATCAAGACACTTGGAGATGGGACTAGGTGCAGTAGATGACCAGGATAACTGCACTTTGTCCTGCTGTGTTCATGTTCCATTATTCTTGCAGAGATGGATTCGATGACCATTGAATCTTCCAATTGTCTCAATTGTTGTGATGGAATATGCAGCTGGGCTAAGAGTTGCAGGGGTGGTGGTTGGAAATGTCAACAATAGCATGGTGACTTCCCAGGGAGGAGGTAGTTCATTCCAGAGAGGGTCTCAAAGCAAGTCACTCTGGAGTTCTGAACTGGAAGGGACAGGAAGAAAAAGATTCAAGGTTGCCACTCCTTAGAATCTCCCAGGTATATCTATTAGTTTAGAAAGGTTATAGTTTTAATCTAGAGATATTTTGTCTATTAGGTGTAAGCAAATAAAGAACTGGGCTACTTTGGACTCACTGTATTGCCTCTGATCAATATGGAGTCTGGCATCAATTGGTGGGATAGGCTGTTCTCTTTATTTCCAAGGGTTTAAGGCTCATAAACTACCCTCATTTGAATTAGATGGTTTTTGAAGCTGTTGTAGGATGTGGCTGCTGTTGCATGCAAACAGCTATGGAGAGCCACAGATTACAACTGGTGCCAGGTAGGTACCAAAGATGTGTAAACCATCCAGAAAGGATGTCACATGTTCTTCTGCCAGAAGTGCTATCCCACCCTGGCATCCCATACACTTTGTATTATAGTGTAAAACTTACATAGAAAAAAGAGCAATTGTAACACTGCACTATGCAATAATATTCATGATCTTGACATAAATATTCACTACAACAAAATGAGACACTTACACATATTTTATTTTGGCATACATTTTTCACAACTAAAATGTATATGTAAGTGCACCATGAGCAATAAAATTATGTCTTAAATATTGATTTTTCATGAATTTACATTTGTGACCCCAAACCCTAACCCTAACTTCACTCATCTCCAATGAAAAAGCATGAGAAAACAAAGCATGAGAATATCAACCAAAGTGCACCTCTAAAAATACCATCAACCATAAAATTATGTCCTGAACTTTAACATTGATATGAACTAGAATTTTCAATGGAATGGAACCATCATCCTAACTTGAACCTTTCTACTGAAAATTAGAACCTAAAACATATGCCCAAACCAAATATTAACAGAATATATATTAAAAACTACCTCTAACCATAAAAGCCTTCCTTAGTACTAATCTTGGCATTGCCTTCAGTGAAATTAACCTTATCCTAACATTATGCTCCCTACATTCTAATTTATAGTATAAAATTTATAGAACAAAATATCAATTGGAACATAGCCATAAGAAGAACCCTGTCCATCTTTTGAGAGAGATAAATTTATGAAACAGTCTGTGAAGAGGAGTAGAACTATACTATGTTAACAGAAACTTGTAGATGAAATTATGTTTTCACTTCCTTCCCTCTTACATCCAACAAAGTTAGGGAGGAGCTAGTTCTAATGCTCTCTTAATACTTTCTATTTTCAAGGCATAGTTTTGCTATTTTTATTTTTATCCTGACTTTTTAATATTTTCCCCAAGGTCATCTCCTTGGCACTATCACACTAACTCAATCCTAAATCCAATCAAAATTATAGCGTAAAATGAAAGTTATAACATCAACTGAAACATAAATTTAAAAGTATGATTAAACATAAAATTGCACTCTAATACTTATCCTGAAATTGATTTTAATGTACTCTTCAGTGAAACCCAGTGATAACCTACCTTAATCTTCTTTCCAATGCAAATTATAGCATAAAAAGTACACCAGAATAAAATATCTTCCCAAGCAAGTTACTTACCCTTTTCTTTGAAGACTGGTCAAATGGATTTTAAGGGTGAGGTTTTATGGTTAGTTGTATTCTTACATTTACATTTCAGATTGTGTCCTCGTTTATACAATTTTGACAGTATAATTTCATTGGAAATAGGATGAATTTAGGGTTAAGATTTTGTATGATTGCAGACTGGTTAAAATTAATGTAAAGATGAAGATGAGTGTGAAATGTTACTGTTAGATGTATTCTTAGATGTGGAAGTATTTGATTTATATTTTGGTTGGTGTGTTTAGTTGTAATTTTACAATGTGCATTAGAAATAGGATTCCTCTTCTCTGAAAACTCTGGTAAAATCAAAGCTAGAATCAGTTTTATTGGGTGCTATTATATGAATAGCAGTGTTATATTTTTGAGTGGCATTTTACACTATGGTAAATTTCACATTATAATTGAATTGGAGGTGATATGAAGCCAGGGTTAGATCTGGTTAAAATAATTATTAGGATCAATAGCAAAACATCATTTCATTCAAAATGTTCATAGAAATTGAAAAGAGAATAAATGTTTTGGAGCAATTTGTGGTTAGTGACAACCTTATATTTATTTTTTTGTTCATATTTTGGTCTGGGGTAAGTTTTTCATTAGAACATTCTTTTAATAAATTCATTTAGTAAATTCATAGTTTGGATTTCATTTTATTTGAGACTTTTTAAATAAAAAAATAAAATTATTTATTTTAATTTTTGAAAAAAAATAATTTAAGAATAAATATCATAGGATGATATAAGCATTTGTACCTTTGCATTTAATTCAGAGTTGGTATTTTGTTTTAAGCTAAGTTGTATAAAATTTCCATTGGAGATAGGATCAAGCTTGGGTTAAGGTCCCATTGCATTGAAGATTAAATGGTTAAAATGCATGTCAAGATTATGGTGCAAATGGATTACTGGCAGTCTTAGACTTCTGTTAACAGTTGGCATTGAACTAAAACTTGCACTATATTTTGCATTGGTAGTACAATGAAATTAGGGACAGGGTTCCGTATCACTCAAGACTCTGGTTAAAATTATTTAGGCTAAACTTCAGGGAAGTGGTAGAGTTCAATTTATGTTTCATGTTGTTATTTTTTCCAGTGTTAAATATTCATATAATATTCATTGAAGATAAACTGGAATTAATTGTATGGTTTAATTAATCAATTAATGTCTTTTTTGTTAAAATCAATGTCAGGCAAAGTTAAATGTGTCATTTTATTATTATTGATAGGCTTAGATTTAATTCAGTTGATTTTAGTCTTAGATTTAGAATAACTTTATTGTAACTTTGAATGTACACTAATTGGCATACATTAAAATGAAATTTCCTTGCATACAGCTCTCAAAGGGTCACCATCTCAAACAGGGGTGAAATCCAAATTTTTTCCTATCAGTTCTGTGGATGTGACTTGGTGGGCACGGCAGGGGAAGGATATTGCAAAATCTCCATTCCCACCCCACTCCAGTGGAAGGATACTGCAAAATCTCCATTCCCTCTACTCCTGGGGGAAGGATATTGCAAAATCCCCATTCCCTCCCAACTCTGGGGCCAGCCAGAGGTGGTATTTGCCAGTTCTCCGAACTAGTCAAAATTTTCGCTACTGGTTCTTCAGAACCTGTTAGAACCGGCTGGATTTCACCCTTGATCTCGAATATACACTACATAAACATAGCAAAATAAATAAATAAATTTGTATTTTTCTGTGTTATTCTTAACCTGTAATATGTTTTGAACATATACATGTAGTCCTTAACTTATGACCACAGTGGAGCCCAAAATTTATGTTACTAAGTAAGAAATTCATTAAGTGAGTTTTGCCTCATTTTACAACCTTTCTTGCCATAGCTGTTGAGTGAATCACTGCAGTTGTTAAGTTAGTAACATGGTTGTTAAATGAACCTGGCTTCCCCACTGACTTTGCTTGTTAGAAGGTCACAAAAGGGAATCGTGACCCCTGGACACTGCAACCATTATAAATACAAATCAGTTGTCAATGGTCATAAGTGTGAAAAACTGTCATAAGTCCCTTTTTTTTCAGTGCTGCTGTAACTTCAAACAGTCACTAAGTGAACTGTTGTAAGTTGAGGACTACCTGTAGTGATGTTAGAAATTGGATATATTTTCAGTTGGGTTCTGTTGTTAAATTAATGGCACAATTTAGAGTATTATTTTACGGCTAGTATTAGTAGCAGATCTAGGTTATGGTTGATATTTTGTTCTGCTTTAAATTTTACAATAGAATTTGCTTTGAAGATAGGAAAAGATGGATTAGAGTTTTATTTTACTGAAGACTCTGATTAAAATTAATGTCAAGAGAAACATTATATTATGATTTTATGGACTGTGGTAATAATAAATTTATATTTCCATTGATATTTTTCCTAGAGTTTGCCTTATTCTATAATATATCTTAAGGTTACAGATTTGGAACAGGTTTCATTTCATAGGGAGTATTGTTAAAATTCATTACATAATTTAATTATTAGAACGTGGTTTTATGGTTAATGGTAGAATTGGATTTATATTATGTCTTTATTTTTTTTTTTCAGTGGTAGGTTATACTTTGATCGATTGACATAGTGCACGCTGATCCACCAAGACTGCCAGATATCTGAGGACAGAAGAACAACCATAGCACAAGAGAAGAAAACATTCTGCAAAGCCAGAGCTGCAAATGCTGCAATAATGGTGCCCACACATGTCTGCCCGACATCTAGCAAAACATTTCGTGACCGTATAGGCCTTACCGGCCACATTCGGACACATCGTGGACAGCCCACAACCTGTTAGATGTCAAGGTCCTCTTTGAACACAATGGACAAACATCATCAAGTTATACTTTGCATTTAAGATATGATGGAATACAGGTTATATTTTTGTTTCGCTGAATAATCTGGTTAAATTAATATGAATCTAAGAATTAGTGCATGTTTTTTGTTAATGATAGTCTTAACTTCCCTTTTTCAGTGCAAAGGTTCATCTATAACAAAAACTCAGTGATAACTAAGTTCTAAGATTTTTTCTAACACATATGCATACCACATCCTAACACCTATCCTAGTATTAATTTTGTTAACTCAAGTTGGATAACCCAAGTAAGCAATTAACAATGTTAAAAAAATACCCCCAAAATATTTAAAGTTAAAATACAAAGTAATCAGAAAAATGTTCTTTTCTTTGAGGTGATTGATGCCACGTGTATGAAAATTAAAATTGTTAGTCATTTTTTAAATCGGCAGAAAGGGAGTATTAAATGTTTTCCCAGCCTGATTTGAGTAATGGCTAATTCATTTGTTTAGGTAACTAAAATAACAGTGAGGAAGTGATGTGGACCAGTTTCAGATTAGCAGTATTCTAAGATATGGTTGTATGTTCATTGTTTTAATTCAATAGATACTGAGGTTCTTTTGTTGTTACTGATGGTGCAGGTAAAGATATAGTAAGGTGATATACTTTAATATACTCTCGCCCCTCCTGTTCAACATTTATGTGAAGCTGCTGGGTGAGATCATCTGTGGTTTTGGGGTGAAGTTCCATCAGTACGCTGATGATATGCAGCTGTACATCTCCACCCCGGACCACCCCAATGATGCCCTTGACGTGATGTCCCGGTGCCTGGAGGCCGTGCGGATCTGGATGGGGAGAAACAAGCTCAGACTCAACCCCTCCAAGACCTAGTGGCTGTGGTTTCCGGCATCCCGTTATAGCCAGCTGATTCCATTGCTGACTATTGGGGGTGAGATCTTGGCCCCCTCAGAGGGGGCTCGCAACTTGGGTGTCCTCCTGGATGCATGGCTGTCTCTAGAAGATCATGTGACGGCTGTGGCCAGGGAGGCTTTTTATCAGGTTTGCCTGATTCACCAGTTGCGTCCCTTTCTGGACAGGACTCCTTGCGCACGGTCACTCATGCCCTCATCATTTCCCATCTGGACTACTGTAATGCTCTCTACATGGGGCTCCCCTTGAAGAGTACTCGGAGGCTCCAACTGGTCCAGAATGCGGCCGGGCGGGTGATTATGGGAGCGATACGGTGCACCCATATAACACCTCTCCTGTGCGAGCTGCACTGGCTCCCGGTGGTCTTCCGGGTACGATTCAAGGTGCTGGTTACCATCTTTAAATCGCTCCATGGCTTAGGACCTGGGTACTTATGAGATTGCCTTCTGCCACCAATAGCCTCCCACCGGCCAATACGCTCCCACAGAGAGGGACTCCTCAGGGTGCCGTCGGTGAAACAATGTTGACTGGCGACCCACAGGGGGAGAGCCTTCTCTGTGGGGGCACCTGCCCTCTGGAATGAATTGCCCCCTGACCTACGCACCTTTCGCCATGCCCTCAAGACATTATTGTTTCAACGAGGTGGGCTGGCTTAAACATGAATTTTAATGGCTGTTTTAGTTCTTTTTAAATAATATTGGGGCCAAATTATTTAATATGTTTTTAAACTGTTTTTAAATTTTATGGATATGTGTGTTTTATTGTGGCTGTACTCCACCCTGAATCCTTCGGGAGAAGGGCGGTATAAAAATTTAAGTAATAAACAAACAAACAAACAAACAAACAAACAAATAAATAAATATATAGAATATATTAAATAGATATATTAAGGTATAAATATGAGTGAAGAGTGAAAATCTTCCTTCATTACATGAACACAATGGCTTGAAAATGAGAATATTTGTATATCTTCATGGGCTGAAATACAAGGAAGAACAGCACACATTAACATGAACACAGGAACACTATAGATAATGGGAATTGGCAGTAAAGCACCAAACACATAATAATTAATAGCTGAAATAGAAGACTTATGTTTTTTTGGTATTAAATTGTAACCTATAATCTTTGTTGAAATCCTGACAAATACAACTGCATGCTGGAATGAATTCCAATTGCCCTTTGAAAATGGCCCTGTTAAGTATTGTAACCTTGAGATCAAAGATCAAATGTTGAGGCAGATTGAAATTTTCCCTGACTGCTATCTATATATTTCAATTCCAAAAGTCAGATTATACTACACAGTGACTTTTTTGTTTGGCTGATGAAAATTCCCGAAGAGCATAGCTGGCTAATAATACCTGATGCGATGTGAATAGGCTGATGATCAGAACATTTAGTATGGCTGATATTTTTAACTATAATACTAATATAGTTAGAACAGCTTAATGAACCAAGCTGATACTTATCTCTCTTCCATAGTCTAGAAGTGTTGATAGTGCTGGTAGTCATGTTAATTGCTTTTATGTTCTGTAAGGAAAGATGTTTCTTCTTTTTAGGGCATAGGTGGAAAACCTTTGAGTGAGTTTTAATTTTGGGGAGAATCAGGATATAATGTAAAGAATTGTTTCTATGTGTATGGAAAGGATGAACATTTTTCTCTCCCCCCCCCAATTTTGGGGGAAAAGGGGACTCTTTTTCACCAGTAATATCTTACATGTATTTTATATTTTTATGTGTGGCTCATTTCAAAATGGCAGACAAAATTGCTATTTTTTGGCACATGTGGACAGCAGTGCTTCACTCTCACACAACCCCCCTGAGCCTCAGGTTGCCAACTGATACTTGATCGGTTCAAAGTCATTGAAGAAGTTTAATAGCCTATTAAGGACTATCTGAAAATAACAAGGTACCATAATGAGCACCCAGCTTAGATGCAGAGATCAAGATAATTATGAAGGACAGAATGCTAAATGTCTGTTTAACCCCTTCAAATTAGCCAGGCTGAAAGAAAGCCAAACTTAGTTGCCTTATCTGGCACATATATTTGTATGATGAGCATTTCCAGAAGATGCTGGGAATAAAATTTCCACGTTGGAGGCACAGCTATATAAAGATAGACCTCTGTCTTTACTTTTTAAGAGAAGAAGATAAATGTGTTCATTACTGGCAAAATTTCCTCTCCACAGCATTTCCCAACATAGGGTATGTGTTGAGCTTCCATGCAATTAGAGTTCTTTTTTAAAGGAAACCATGGATTAATCCTTCACATATTTATTAGGGAGTAATCCTTACTGCATTTGGTGGTCTTATTTTAGACAAAATGTATGTAAGACCTCATTATAGAATTTCAATCCTCTTTCAGTTACCTGGTTCTCTTTAAACTTATTTGCAAACGTTTCTCACTTTTTTGTTGTCTTCATGAAATTTTAAGTAAAGTTAGATGGAATTCATGATATATATAATTCTGAAATTCTTTCTTTTTATCATAAGCAAGGATGGCAATATTAATTTTAAATAAATACAGTTACATATTTTGTACAGAAAAAACGAGACATCACACCCGAATATCAATTACTTTCAAACGGTTTCAAACGGTTTATTATCCGGAAGTCCAAATTTTAGAGAAATATCTATGCAAAATGTAAATGTGTAAAAATAAGTGTAGGAACACTTTCATGGTATTCTCTTAACTCTGGTTTTCAATTCAGTGTAGCTTAAATAACATTGGTGAAAAACTTTAAGAAAATATCATAATATAGAAGAAAAATATATCATTATTCTTACATACCTTTTAACAGATTGTTTCTTAAAATGAAATCGGTAACAAAAATCCTATACTTAAGGATGGTTATTTTTTAAATTATTTGTAGAAGTCTTCAGTTCCATTTCAAGTCACAATAAATTATTAAAGTGAATAACATTAATAACTGTCTTTCCATCAACAATGGTTATACTTAGTGGTATTTCATATTTATTTTTGGTTTCAGTTAACAAACTTTAAATCAAGTTAGGCTTTACAATTCCCACTGTATAATAAGATTGTTAAGCACTGTTAAAGCAAACCCTTAAAATAAAGGATTATCTTCTCATAGTTAGGGTGAATGGTGATAATATCTTTCAAGCCATTTGTTTTATTTGTATCCCAAAGGGCTTACAGGAGCTAGTTGCTATGGTAACCCTCCATATGTACAGGCTGCCAAAACTGAGTGAGAAGTTAGAAGGAAAAAGGTGTACACTAATCCAGGTGTTCGTTTCACGGGATCAGCATCCATGTATGGCTCAGTTGATGTGTTAGCCTGGCAGGTTGTTTCACCTGATTGTTATAACTCCTGCAGAAATTACTACTCTTTATAATAAGCTAATATTAAATGGAGAGTATTAAATTATTGCTGAAAGATCCAGGGATCAGGTTCTATAATTTATCTTAAGTCAAGTGAAAGAGATATAGATTTGGCAGACACTAGCTAAGTAAGTATTTCTATTCTTTTAAGAAACATTTTCTGTTACACATTTTATCTTTTACACTTATTTTACAAGTATGAGACTTTAAGAAGGACTAAATGTTGCTGGGCCCACCTTGCAGGAATTATCAATGAATGTCTGAAGTAAAGGCAACTAAAAATTGTGGAAATGCCTTCCCCCGCATGCCTATTCTGTAAGAGGGGCATGAGGAAGGGGGCAAACGATGGTTGATTCATGCTCACCTTATTCCTAGAGTGTGCATGCATGGATGAACATTTGCATGGTTTAAGGGCAGGTGCTTTGCACACTTCTAAAAGATGCCTTTTAGAGTTCTGCATGCTTTGAAAGGTATTCAGATTTCTGGGCATACTGAAGATGAGGCTGATTTAACAGATCAATTCATTGAAGTTGATCTGAGTTTTGAAGCTGTCACAACTTTTTTTCCTCATTATTGGATCGATGCCTGGGGGGAAAAAAGTAGTTTCAATGAATAGCAGAGTATTGCACTCCTATTTTCCAAAGCATATCTTCCAAATAATTTTGCAATATGCACAGTGCTAGTGGCTTTGTGAATAAGCCTATCATTCACTATTGTTTGATTAGTTGGATCTGTCCAGAGTGTTGAATCACGCAGCATACACGTTTAATGAATTATTATTGTTATAATTCCTCCTTTACCTTGGCTAGTATCATTTCAGAGTACTGAAGACATTTTAAAAGGTGGTTCTTTAATTCACTACACCTTTTTCTGGAGGCCCTGGAGTTGGAAAAAGACATGTTAGCCTTCACCTCCACCAGGGGATCATATTGATGTGCATGGGCACAACTATTTGCTGATGCTTCTTTGCGTATGAAAAACAATGTCCTCAGAGCACTGTTATTGTTAGCCAGATATTTTGTCATACAATCTGGAAGTGAATATGTTATAATCAGCAGAATCCAATATTTTTATTTTGGCCTGCGCACAGCATAAACTAAAAACATTGTGGAATTAACAATCATAACATAAAGGTATGTGTACAACTTGTGCAGAAAGTGACTATATAGTGTCAAGATGTAAGATAAAAGCTACAGGATTGCATAAATGTAAAACTTGTGAAAAGCTATTGGATAACTTAAATTAAAACCTGAGTTAACATTTGAGTGACTATAAGATAAATATACTGTTCTTTCTAAAAAGTTATAATAAAAAATAAATTAAAAAGTAAGCATTGCTATATAACTGAACACTGGATATTAGAGACAACAATCTAACATCAGGGATGTGTCATGGCTGATTAACTTAGTAGTCACTACCACTGACCATTCAGTGGTTACAGAATGCAAAGTCTGCATTCTGCTGTAGAGAACTTTGCAGTGTTATGTCTTATGAGGGTATGGTTAAGTAGTAGGGAAATGCAGAATAAGTCTGTCCTGCCTGACAGCCTAGTGGATAGAAGATGAAAAGGAAGCAGGAGAAGAGGAACATACTTGACAGGTTTAACTTGCTATGACATTTCAGGGCATAGATGTTCAGTAAGGAAATCTTCCTGCATTGTAAGGCAGGGGAAGGAAAGGAAGGGTAGCGAAAATAAGGGCTCTTTAGAAGCTTCTAGCTGTGTAAGCAATGCAGTTGGTGTAATTATATATGTTAGCTTTTTAATATTTATTTATTTATTTATTTATTTATTTATTTATTTATTTATTTATTTATTTATTTTTCAATTTATATACCACCCTTCTCCCTGAGGACTCAGGGCGGTGCATAGCCAGAATTAAAAACATGAAATACAAATATTAAAAACAATTAAAATATATATAATTTGGCCCAAAAATTTAAAAAACCACAAACCAATTAAACATTTAAAAAATTAAAAAAATTTCTTCCTAAGCCAGCCCGGCTTGCTGGAAAAAGTGGGTTTTAAGGGCACGGCGGAAGGCACTGAGGTCTTGGATTCTCCTTATCTCTGGGGGCAACTGATTCCAGAGGGTAGGTGCCCCCACAGAGAAGGCTCTTCCCCTGGGGGTCACCAGCCTACATTGTTTGGCTGATGGCACCCTGAGGAGGCTCTCTCTGTGGGAGCGCACGGGTCGCTGGGAGGTCGTCGGTAGCAGCAGGTGGTCTCAAAGATAGCTAGGCCCTATGCCATGGAGCGCTTTAAAGGTGATAATTAACACCTTGAAGCTCACCCAGAAGACCACCGGGAGCCAGTGCAGCTCGCGCAGGAGCGGTGTTACATGGGAACGCCATGCTGCTCCCATCACTAACCGCGTTGCTGCGTTCTGGACCAGCTGGAGCCTCCGGGTGCCCCTCAAGGGGAGCCCCATGTAGAGAGCATTGCAGTAGTCAAGGCGAGAGGTGACGAGGGCGTGAGTGACTGTGCACAGGGAATCCCGATCAAGAAAGGGCCGCAACTGGCGAATCAGGTGAACCTGATAAAAGGTCCCCCTGGCTACAGCCATCAAATGTTCCTCCAAGGACAGCTGCATATCCAGGAGGACTCCCAGATTGCGAGCCCTCTCTGCGGGGGCCAAAGACTCGCCCCCGATAGTCAGCGATGGAGTCAACTGACTATATCGGGATGCCGGGAGCCACAGCCACTCAGTCTTGGAAGGGTTGAGCTTGAGCCTGTTTCTCCCCATCCAGATCCGCACAGCCTCCAGGCACTGAGACATCACTACAAGGGCATCGTTGGGGTGGCCTGGGGTGGAGATGTACAGCTGGGTGTCATCAGCGTACTGATGGTATCTCACCCCGAAGCCACGGATGATCTTGCCCAGCGGCTTCACATAAATGTTGAACAGAAGGGGCGAGAGGACCGATCCCTGCGGCACTCCACAGATGAGAGGCCTCGAGGTCGACCTCTGCCCCCCTGCCAACACAAACTGCGACCGGTTGGAGAGAAAGGAGGAGAACCACCGCAATACGGTGCCTCCCATCCCCAACTCTTCCAGCCGGTGCAGCATGATACCATGGTCGATGGTATCAAAAGCCGCTGAGAGATCTAACAGGACCAGAACAGAGGAGCAACCCCTGTCCCGAGCCCTCCAGAGATCATCAACCAACGCGACCAATGCCGTTTCCGTGCTGTGCCCAAACCTGAAACCCGACTGGAACGGAACTAGATAAGATGTTTCCTCCAGGAATTGTGGAAACTGTCGCGCGACCACACTCTCAACAACCTTCGCCATAAAGCGAAGGTTGGAGACAGGACGATAGTTGGCTATGGGGAGTTTTGGAGACTTGCTTAAGTCAGTTTAATACTCTGGGTACATTAAATATGGTTGAAAGAATTTATTAGCCTGCTCATAATCCAGGGAGAGGAAAGAGCTGGGAAGCCCAAATGATGATAATTTAGCCATTCATTTCAATCTCTTTCAAGGATGAATATAATAAACACGATAGAAGAAAAAGTATGTTTTACACGTCTCTGATATATTCCCATTCTGCAAATAGTGTACTAAAGATGTTTACACCTTTGTTATACAGATTGTTAATTGGTCTTTTAATTCTGGTTGTCATCCAATTCTATTAAAACTAGTTGGCCCGAAAGCTCCATTTCTTAATTAAAACCTGCCTTAGATCTTTAAGTGGCTGCTTCAGTAGATAATGTTCCAGATCTGGCTTCATCTCTTAAATGTTGTAGCCAAAGAACTATTTCATTTGGATTTAGCTGTTTCCCTGTTGATTTAAGGTGGGTAGAGTAATAGCAGAAAAAATAGACATATAGATTAATCCTACATACTATTACAGTATGTGCTTTTTTTAAAAAAAGTGCCAATTCACTAATAGCAGAGTTCAAGTTTAATGAGCAGAAATAAAGAATTAGGGTACAAAAACTTTAAATTGAATAAGTAAAGCTCCTATCATCCTTTATGAGTTACTTCATCAAGGTAAGATCTTTCTAAGTTGTTTGAGCCTCCTTTTCCCAAAATGCAAACTGCCCTTTTTCTAGATAAGCCTAGCGCTGAAGTCTCCATCTGCTTCTCATTAGTAATGTTTTGAAATATTTCCTTTACTTTTTCACCCTTGGTGAATTATCTTACAGCCGTTCTATCATTTTATCACTAAAAAGTAAGAAAGATGGCCTATTTCTTATAGATAGATTGTGGGGCTTGATGCAAATACCAGTTTTACAGGAAACAGCTAATAAATGATTGGGATATAGACTACTTTATCACATCATGCTAACCAGATGTTAGCACAGCTTACTCAAAGGAAACATGAGATTCTCAAGCTGCATTTGCCAGCCCTCACTGTTACCATGTTACAAAAATCATAAAGCAATATAGACTTGGACATTTGAGCTATGTAAATATTTATCTACTTATTTAATTAAGATATATATATATGCCTAATATTCTGTATATTTTGTATTCTGGGCAGTGTATGAAGATTAAAAGAACAGCTACAACAAATGATCCTGATACCCAAGGTTAAGGCAATAAAGCACAATCACAAAAGGACCACATCAATTGACAAGTTTGCCTAACTGTCTGGCCCAAATGCCTGGGGGAACAGCCAGGTCTCCAAAATCTTGAGAAAGATTAACAAGGTCAGGACCTTCCAGATTTCCAGAGGTGAGAATCTTCTTGTTTGAAATCTTTTACGTTTCAAAGAGTTCCTAGTTTTACCTTTGCAAACTCATAGTCTCATTGTTATTTTGCGACTGCAATTCTCGGTAACTAAATAAAAGAAGCAGATTTGGAAAGTATTTGGCTCAGGTAGACTATGCTTATAGCTAATATCCAGATGATTTCTAGAAAAATAAATACAATGCAATAGTTAGATCATTCACAGTGCTTTATTTCACAAGTAAATCTTTTTTCCCATAGCAATAATTGTAAACTTATCTGGGTGGGTGTGGGGGGGGCAGGGTGGTGGTAGAGGGAAGGATACAGGGAGGAAGAGAAATAATCACTAGAAAAAAAACACATTAAAGATAAAATTCCTGATCCTTTCCTTCTCAGAGTTCAGCCTCACTGCTGCAATGTTTTATTTTTAAAAAAGTGCTCAGAAATTATAACGTTGTGATGTTCTGTGCTTCAAGTTTTAAAAGAAGGCAGAAGGTACTTGATGATAGGATCAAAAGAATACTTTTGCCTTAGAGCAATCAAAACTATCAGAATCTTTAAAAATGTGGTGCCAGGATGATAGTTGAGCCCACCTTTTAGGAAATGGAGTATCTGGTGTTGATATGTTGGTTTATGGAATTGGGTTTGTTGACATTATACATTTTTATTGTAATGGGGGCATATTATGTACTCCCACCCCCACACTACTTGCAATTACATGCATTGGATGGCTATAAAAATCATTCTAAATAAATGCATACATAATATATATATTTAAAAAGGATAGTAAAGGGCAAGTAATCCATTCCTTGAAAGTCTATCCAAAGTATGACTGTATACTGGAATGGTCATACATGGATCTATTCTTGGCATGCAGGACAGTAACAGTATAATAGAGTCTAGGACTTTTCCCAAACTCCTATTTATTAGTTTACTGAATTTAGTGGAGAAATTGCATTGGGACACAGTAAAAAGAAGGGAGAGCCTCAAATAAATGTTCTGCTGCAGAGATTTCTGGATCTTTAGAAAGCCATGTTGGTCAAATCGGCAAGTTTCCAGTTTTCTTTTTTGTAGAAAAATGGGTTGCCTTTCTCTGCTATCTGCAATTAAATCAACAGTCTTTTTTGTGGTCCTTTCATAGATTACCCAGTAGCCTATCTAATAAAGGAGTCTGGGGATCTATCAGATCCTATCAAAAATTATGGCCTCCTGCTAAAAGCCATGAAAAACTATTCCCTCTGCATTTTCTATTCCTCTGTTCACATCTTTTGGCATAAATTTCTAATAATATTTTTACATGTGTACAGAATGATTTCCCATTTATTTTGCCATTCAGTTATACAACATGTAAGTCTTACTTTATCCATATTGTATACTATGCCGATGTCCCCACTTCCTGTGTTCATCTCATAAGAATACTATATTCATTTCATAAGAAATGTATTCTTGAATGACATTGGAAGCTGACCAGCTTGTACATTCTTATTTGTCCAGCTCTTAAAACAGTACCACCTTAAGATATATTGGGTTTAGAATTCTTAGCCAACATGTAATCCCCATATATTCGAAAGCTGCTGGCTTGGAGAAGGCTGCCTTAAAGATAAAAAACATAAAAGCCTGAAAATGCTGCCTGAATGCTATTTAGTAAAATCCACTTGCACAACATCATGGCTGCATGCAAAGGAAAGCATCCTTAAGTACAGAAGTTCAGTTGGATTGTAAATAGGTCAGGAACTGCTTTGGCAGTCACTGCCAGTAGGTGGCCAGTTGAAGAGTTGGTTTCTTCTTTTCCTTTGCCATCTTCTCTAATTGACATGAAGCATCACCGTTTTGCTGGGAGATGTTGGTTGCCCTGTGCTCTCTTCTTCAGCAGCAGTCTCTTGTGTGATGTGATGTTTGCTTCTGCCTCCATCTGATTTACTCTGTAGCTGTCTTGCTGTCAGTTGTTACATGAACTTTGCTGGGTTGCAGGGCAGAAGTCATTAAAATTCAGAGATACCTCATTAATTTGTGCTGCCTGAATTCAATGGCCTGAATGAATTTGTATTAGAAGCAAATCTCCCCAGCCACTCAAAATATTGCAAAAAATATATTGATTTAGGAAAGCTAACTAGAATTAAGCAGAAGTTTACTGCTGTCAGACTTAGCAACATTTTCTATAGCAACCTACCTGACACCTATGGAGTTCCATTTGCATAAATCATTTTTTTGCATTTTTCAGCCTCCTAGTATAACTCGGTATTTAACATTACTAGCAAAACTCTGCTAATAATAGCAATAGAGACATTTCTGGGTAATGAAAAGGCATCCCAGAAAGCAAAATAATTCAAATTGTTTTCAGAACTCTCTGAAACCTGTCTAACTTGTGCATCTTCATTACGTAAAGAAAAATGATAGGAAATAAGAGGTCATTGAAAGCGCCTCATTTATATGATAATTACAAATAAGCAGAGGCTAACAGTTCAGGATACAAATCATTTGCTCTTACAGGATCTGTATGTTTGCTAACAGAAAGTATGTGATTATCTCTTGATAATTAGTTTCCAAGTGACAAAAAGAATGTTGTGCAAAGGAGATCCAGCTATTGAACTATATATGGTCTAGACTCTCTATTTCTTTATGAAATAGCAGTTCAGGTTCTAGCCTTAATTAATGCATGCCTTAATTGTAAAGGAAATATTACAAATAGAAAAAAAGGGAGAAAAATGCAGCATTAAAGAAGAATATAAACCACTTTTGTGAAAAGATGTGCTGTTTTTCCCAAATCAAGAAGATGGAGAAATAAGAGGGCAAAAGCCATGCTCTGAAATAATGGAGCAATACTCACAGGCAAATAGAAAATTGACTAAAATAGAAAGTGAATAGCTGAAAAGGAAAGGAATAGTCATATAGAATGGACAGGAAAGGACAGCAGAAAAGTGAAAAATAATGAGAGATTCTATTGTAAGAGAAGCCTATTATTAATCCAGGCAATGATTGAGCTCAAACTAATGAAACTCTGTCCCACCTGTTGTTTTTAATCTTTCAGATGTCCAACCATCATCCATCTTTTAGTAGATTGGGCAAAATGGCATTATCATTTGAAATAGAATGCGAAACTGTAAAATCAGAAACAATCATTACTCTATTTCATGATTGCACAGGAATTTGTCTTTTAGGCTTTGGCTTCCAGAAAATGTGTCACAGGAGTATTTCTTAAAAAAAGAAAGAAAGAAAAAGATGCATTGCTAGGAAGGTAAAAGATGCTATAAAACAGAGCAATCTCAATTGAGAAGATATTAGCAATGTCAAGAAAGAAGGTGGTTTTTAATGTATTTTAAAAGCCTCAGGGAAAAAGTAGATATTGTGACAAGTCTGCACTTAGTTTCTACAGGCTAGGTGATATGTTATCAGAAAGAATGTCTCCATAATAGAAAATTAAGACTGACAAATCTGAAAGCTTTCACTATGTGGAGTATTTATATAGATATAAAAATGCTGTACAATGTGATAGTTTATATAAGAGCTATAAGAGGAAAGTGGAGTTGGATGATAATCCTTGTTTGGCAATATTTATTCCTGAGGGTGTGTATTTATGTCTGAATTTAACAATGTTAAAAATACAGCACATGTGTTTTATCATTTGGTTGCTTACCTTGATGTAGTCAAAAGGGTATATGTACCCAACTTGCCAAAAAGTACAGCTATGTAGGAAGTTAGCACCCACCCCTCTCCTAGAAGAATGAAATATTCTAGGAAATATTAAAAAGGCAGAATATTATACCTCCCTGGATGAGAAAAGGAGAAACATGGTCTTGGAAAGCAGCACCCACCTTTGTTAATAGCCCCAGAAAGACTGGGCCATCCTATCTACAAGACAAAAGACCTTCAGCTCTAGGGTGATAGGATTAACCCTCACTCAAGATCCAAACCAGGACAAAGCCATTAAGCCATAATAGGAATTGCCCAACACCCTTTCAGAATACGGCCCTCTTCATTACATCATCACCAGGGGTGGGTTCTACTTACCTTTACTGCCAGTTTGCAATAGGGCCATGTGTACGCTTTTCTGTGCATGCACAGAAGCGTTCTGATGATGTCGGTCTTGGTGGGCGGAGCCTCCCTCCGGTTTTACTACCGGTTCTATAGAACCGGTCCGAACCGGGGGCAACCCACCACTGATCATCACCCAGCAAGATTCAACCAAGCCTGGGACACAGACAGCCTACAAGGTTAGCTAGCCCCCTGGGATTCTCACAACCAATAGGATACATTTCTTGCAAGGCCCAAGAGAGGGTATAAATATATCTCACTCTCCACTCCATGTAGTGGAGAATCACATGTAGTTGGTGGTTCTGCTTCACCATTAAACCATCCTTCCAAGCAGCCTCCATGTTTCCAGTGTCTTTCTTCCCAATTGGAACTGAACCCAGATGGACATTTCTTCAAACAGCTATGAGCAAAAACTTTCAAGTGTAATTTAAATCTCAGTTATTTTTAAAAGTGTTATACTGTGTAATTGATTTTTTTTAAATTGTACTTTAAAATTTATTGTACTTTACCATACTGTGACCATTTCATCCCTGAAATTGTTTTTCTTAGGCATTCTGTTCCTTGCTCTTTTCTCTTCTGTACCTTGAGTTCTATTAATTGTTCTGACTAATTCTGAATTAGGAGCATGCAAACATAAAGTCTTGTTATTGAATTTAGCTGTTTCATTTTATTTGTCTTTATTTTATAGCTCTGTATAACCAAGAAAGATATACATGTTACACATTATATACATTATGTTTACACCAATCTTATTGTAATCAACTGTATGATTATATCAATTTTTTTACAGTTTTTTATATATACACATACTAGATTTCTAGATAGCCAATAACAATGAATGTAGAAATGTAATTGATAAGATCTTTTGGAAAACAATCTACAAATACAGCACAGGAGTTTTGGGGTGTTCTTTAAAAATATTTGAAAAGTACAATTGTCTACCATTCCAGTGAGTTAAAAAAGGGA